AAAATCTACAAATAGAACTACCATATGATCCAGCAATCCCACTCCTTGGTATCTACCCGAAGGACAGAAGAATACTTCATCGAAAAAGTGCTTGCACATCGATGTTTATTGCGGCACTTTTCACGATTGCTAGGTCATGGAAACAACCTAAATGCTCACGAATTGATGAATGGTTAGAAAAACTGTGGCACATATACTCAATGGAATACTATTCATTCATAAAAAACAAAACCCTGGCTTTTGAAAGGAAGTGGATGAATATGGAAGACTTACTGCTGAGTGAAGCAAGCCATGCTGTTGTTATAGAGTTATAAAATTATACAAAATTATAAGACATATCTTGAACATTATCTTTAAAATTCAGTATTTTGAAATTTTGAAAGTTGTTTGTAAACTGTCAAGAATTATGGAGTATGAGCTAAAATTTTTTGCTATGTAAAGTAAATGTTTGTGGAAAAATGTAAAAATAAATAAATGAAAGAGAAAAAAATAGATAAATAAATAACAAAAAAATAAAATAATAAAATAATTATTAAAAAAAACTGTTGTTAGTATGTTTTTCATTTGTTCTGATGAGATAACTTGTCTTTTTTTTTTTTTTTTAAGTTTTTTTGTCATAGGATATGTGCACTCACCAGAGAGAAACAGAGGGAGAGTGAAACATCCCAGGAGCAATGGCCACAATGCAATCCCTTCTCCATTTTTTTGAGGTTTTGGGAATGCCCAAGCATGATTTTCAAGCTGCTGGATCTGGGGCTTGAACCATGGTTAGCCATGTGGGAATTCAGCACCTTAACCACATCGCCACCTGCTGGCCCAACTTGTACTATTTTATATCAGTGAGCATGTTAGCTCACTCCTTGATCTCTAAGAACAGTAGAGGTCCAGGTGCTTCCAAGACTTAATTTCTAATGAAGGCCAATCCTGGGGCCACAGCCACATTCTAAGTGGGGGAAATTCATCAGACCAAGGGAAAAACATGAATGTATGATTAAAAATGATGGAAAATATCTATATTGATGTGGACAATGCCTCAAAGACTTTTTAGAAATTTAATAAGAAATTCCTTTTTTCCAGATTTGTTGCAGTCTCCTTCAAGCATTCTGTCCACCCTGGATGTTGAGTTGCCACCTGTTTGTCATGACCTAGATATTTAAATTTCTTACTGCTGTACAGTTTGCGTGTTTGTGTTAATAAAGCATTTCTTTGGTTACTAGACCCTTTCTAATGTTGTGGTTAATATTCCTTAGAATATACTTTAAGTAGTATGAAAACAAGATGGCATATCTCTCAGACAAGAGTCTATAATCTGACAATAAGAGATTTGTCTGATTTGTAAAAACATATCTTAGAGCCTTGGGTGTGTTTTAACAGCTTACTTTAGAAGCTGCCACTGTTATCTGTGAAAAGTACACCCCTCAATGTGTACTTTATTGCCTTTTTGTGGCCATTAACTAGTGACAGTTATTAGATCTCTTAATTAGAAGAGCCACTTCCAGCTCATTAAGTTCTATTGCTAGGCATTCTTTATTGCTGGTTCTATTTAATTTCTAATGACTTTAATACTCAGTATTCAGTAATCAGAATCGGAAAGGCTCTAAATCTTGCAAGAGCTCAACCTCCTTGAGATCATCAATTAGGTTCTTTGAAGATCCCTGCAGATAATTTACTGAGCGGAAGAGGCACTCTCCACCTACAGGAAGCTGTTTAGCTTACCTTGTGTCATACAGTAAGCATTTGATAAGCATTGTGTTTAATATCTATGACACCATTTTTCAGATGAGGACAGTGGGACTCAGAAGTTCATTGATTTGTCAGAGGTGTGAAGAGTTAGAAAGTGAAAGCTGGTATTTGGATTCCAGATCTGCAGCTGAAATCAAAATGGAGATTGCAAATGGTTGCCTGTGGATTCTCTTTTGGGAGGGGGGGTAGGTAATATTGTTTGAAATGTGATCATTTCCACGATTTAAAATTCTAACATTGTGCCTGTCTGTGGTTTTTGGATCCTTGCTCGGAAAAGCAGATCTGGCAGCGGTAGGCCTGTTCTCAGTGCTTGCTGGGCTGGTGACACAATGCCAGCCACCATCTTAAGTGTAGTGTGGACTTTCTGGACCCCACGTTAGGTGGCTTTAAGGACAACCGAAGTGTTCCTTTTATACTTTGTGTCTCTCGGACCTAGCCTATTTAACTCGCTTTACTTGCTCAGGTCATAAAGTCAGTTGAATTTGATCCTTGATACTAAGCTTTATAGGAAGCCTTTCTGAAACATCAGTAGCATCTACAGTCAAGTTAGGATATGAGCCCATTCTTTTCCATTGTTGCTGGAGGAAACTGAAATACTAGGAATACTTACAGCCACGGATGCTGCCCTCTGAATGTAAGAATCAGTTTGAATGTCTAGAGTAAGTGAAAAAGGCAGACTTCCTTAACGATGATACAGTAAGACCACTTGGCTTTAGGGGTGAGAGTTAAGTCTAGCATCCTTGGGTGTAATAGGGTCACTAGGAAAAGCTAAGTTATTCTGAGCAGCTTTCACACTCTACAGTGTAAACCTGGGTGCTCTGGAAAATTCTCTTGTGGAGGAAACCAAGGGCTAGGAGCAAAGGTACATGTCAGGTCCTTGTCAATTAATTATTGAATTACTATCTTCTGGGTCAAGAGTGATCCTACCTTTTCATCTCCTACGAATCAGCCACTTGTTGGCAAGATGGACTATTTATTTATTTATTTAATTTTATTTATTTTAATTTGACCAGAGGAAGGATAGAGTGAGAGAGAGAGGTTAAGTGAGAAAGCAACCCACCAGGTCCAGGACTCAAACCATGGTTGGCCATGTGGGAGTCCAGTGCCCTTAACCACTACACCACCTACTGGCCCTGAGACACTCTTTATATCTTCTCCACTTAAACTTGCTTTTCGACCACCCCTGCCTCTCAAGATACTCCACCTCCTCCCTAGTATAGGTTGGGTCAGCAGGGTGTATCTTGAAGGTCTTGTACAACCCTGAAATATTTACATAATTTAAGGGTAAGCCTTTATATTAGTGTCCCAGGCCTGCTGTAATAACACCGCAGATTGGATGGCTGAAATCTCTCTCGATTCTGGAAGCCAGGAGTCCAGGACCAAAGTGCTGGCCAGGCTTGTTTCTGAAGTCTCTTCTCAGCATGCAGGTGGCTGCCTTTTTGCTGTGTCCTCGTGTGGTCTTTCCTCTGTGTGTGTGTGTGTGTGCCCTAATCTTTCTATAAGGACGTCAGTCCTTATAGGGCTTGTCCTAAGGATCCCATTTTAACTTAATTACCTCTTTAAGGGTTCTGTTTCCAAGCCCAGTCCCATTCTGAGGAACTAGGGGTTAGGACTTAAAAGTGAATTTGGCCCATAGGAGATGCCATGTATTTCAGATAAAGTGACAAAGTTATGTGTCAGTGGCATGAACCTAAGTTAAATTTTACATTTAAACTTGTTAAAACACTGAAATTGGATCATTTTTGATAAATTCTAAGAAACCGATTGGTGTGTTTAAAACTTTATGTAGAAGATGAGATTTAATAATCCTTTTTGTTTTTGTAGTGGCTAGGGAACCAGCAGTTAGCGTAATGGCTATGTTGCTGGACTCCCACGTAGTCGACCGTGGTTCGTATCCCAGGCCCGGTGGCTTAAAACTCACGCCGGGAGTGTGGGTGTGTGTGCCCAGGATCCCGAGAGGAGAATGGAGGAGAAGGAATTGCGGCATGACCATCCCCCCTGGGGGGTGATTTGTTGCTTTATGTCTCTATGTCTCTCTCTGTCGGTCTGGCAAGTGCACGCGCCCTTTAGTGAAAACCTCTCCAAAAAAAAAAAGAATTATTTAATTTATCGTTATTATTTTTTAATTTGCTACAGGGCACATGTGCTCACCAGAGACAGAGAGAGAGGGGGCAAGTGTGAAAGCAAGCTGCAGGTCTGAGATTTGAACTGTGGTTGGCCATGTGGGAGTCCAGTGCCCTAATCACTACACCACCTGCTGGTGCCTTAGTAGTCCTTCTTATTTTGAATTTGCCCAATCTAGTTTTTTTCATTCATTCAGAAAATACTCATTGGCCGCTGTGTGCCAGGCACCATTTCAGGTACAAAGGGTATGACCCTGAATGAAACAGACGGACGTCTCTGTCCTCAGGAAACGTGCATTCTAGCTGGGAGAGACAGTCTATAGAGTAGTAAAAAATATACACTGTATGCTACAAAGTGATGGGTACATGGAAAAGAAAGTGGGCCAGTAGGTGGCGTAGTGGTTACATTGCTGGATTCCCACATAGCTGACCGTGTTTCCAATCTTGGACCCAGCAGCCTGAAACTCACACCAGGCGCGTGTGTGTTCCCAAGATCCTGAGAGGAGAATGGAGGAAAAGAGATTGCGACGTGGCCGTCTCCCCCCATGGGTGGGGTGTGATTTCTCGTTTTCCCTCTGTCTACCCGCTCCTCACCCCTGTGGGCACAAATGCAAAAACCTCTTTAAAAAAGAAAATTAGGGAAGCCCATGTCTTATGGGTGAGTGGGAGGGTGGGGTGGGGGGGTTTACGATTTTTAAATAGGTTATGTGGTCCTCAATGAGAAAGTACTTTTGAACAAATACCAATGCCCTGAGGATATTCAGAGCCAGGACTATCCAAGGAGAGGAATGATCTCGTTCAAAGGCCTTGAGGTAGGAATGGACTTGGTAGTCTGAGAGAATGCACAAAGGTCGGTGGGGAGTAGGGGAGAGGTAGGAGACAGCTCCAGAGAGATAGGTAGGGGCCATATCGTGTAGGACCTTGGAGGGCCAGGGAATTAGTTCGGGTTTTAAGTATAGGTATGTTGTATCCAAAAGATTCTTGGAGAAAGGGTAGTGCTGAACTGGAAAGCTGAGGTATGAGGTGATTAAAGACCAGCGTGGGCATAGTTTGAAGTTACCGGTCGTGATAATGCCTAGGAGATGGTCAAGGGAACGAGTGGAACATGGAAGACCAGCTCTTTGGAGGAGAATCGATAAGCGACTGTGAGGCCAGGGTCTTGGATGGAGTAGACGGAATGAAGGAATGGCACCAGGACGGCAGTGAGCTAGGGTACATCTTCAAGGAGAGACAGGAAACAAGAGAGGCAGTGGATGCGAGTGCGATGACAGGACTTTCCAGTCGATGTCGTAGAGCAGGGCGAGGGAGTGTCATTTGGAAGCAGCAGCAAGGAACCTGGGGGACACTGTCTTTAAACCCCCATTGGGGAATGGGGGTGGAATGCGGTCCCTTCTTCACTGATGGTCTTAGGGAGGCCAGTTACGGGTTAGTGACCAGGGGAGGGATGGCAACCTAGGAGCCAAGGTTCCCTCTGGATATGAAGTATGATGTGATTATTGCTATTAACGACTCATTAACACTGTGTGTGTATATGTATATACATATACACACATTTTATTATTTATTTTGCCATAGGGTGCATGCTCTTGCCAGAGAAAGGGAAAGTGGGAAATCATCCGCTGGGGAATGGCCTTGTTGTAATCCCTTCTCTTTCGTTTTTCCCTCAGGATTTGGGACATGTGTGCATATATGCCCAGTGTGTTTCTAAGACTGAAACCATGCTGCTGGCCATGTGGGATCCAGTGCCTTAACTACCATGCCACTTGCTGACCCCTACACAGTATATTTTAATTAAACATATATATTATGGGAGTTCTTTCTTTCTTTTTTTGTTTTTTTTTTTTGGAGAGGTTTTCACTATAGGGCACGTGCGCTCGCCAGTCAGAGAGAGACATAGAGACAGAAAGTGAGAAATCACCACCCGGGGGGGATGGCCATGCTGCAATCCCTTCTCCTCCATTCTCCTCTTGGGATCTTGGGCACGCACGCACACGCGCCTGGTGTGAGTTTTAAGCCACAGGGTCCGGGATGTGAATCGCGGTTGTCTACGTGGGAGTCCAGCGACATAGCCATTACGCTAACTTCTGGTTCCCAGGAGTTATTTCTTTTTAATACTGAACTTCTTATTCTAGGTGAAATTGAGAGAGGATTTTTCAGAAGTTCTTTTCCCTTGAAATGTAATAATTGGGATGAATACTTTATACTACTTGGTCTTTATATAGAGACATCTAGGACTAAAGATTTTTTTTTTAAGAATTATTTTGTTCAACTTTACCCATTCATTTCTTTCTTTTCTTTTCTTTCTTTCTTTCTTTCTTTCTTTCTTTCTTTCTTTCTTTCTTTCTTTCTTTC